GGACGCTCTGGGTGGGAAACACTCACGTCCAGGACGTTTCCAAAAAGCAAAACAGCAGCTTTAAAATCAGAGGTGAACTTTCCATACCCCGCAGTCAGCGTGATCAGAGGCTCCTCCTGAGTGCCGTCTATGTTCTGCGTGAACCAAGCAGACAACAAGAAAACAAACTCTGCCTGCTGTTTCCTCAGGTGGGCCGCTGCGGTTTGCTTTCAGCACGCTTGAGTAGCAAAAACCGTCTGCAGAAGCATGTTTGTAACCACCCAGCGTGCAATCTTGTACCTGCTTTAACATACGAGGACCCCTCTGATGCCAAATGTGCCACTTGTGCCTCGGAAATAAAACTCTCTGGACAGAGAACTATCCTGTCCATATCCTGAACTCTTATACCCCGATGTGAACTTAGTAGACAGTGAACACTAAAATAAAATGGGAATAAGAGGGTGAAATGAAACACTCACGCCTCAGCTGGAGTTCTGCTGATGACTTCAATGACGTACGCCCCAGAAGTGACATCTGGGAAGTCTGCCTGCCGCTCCTTCAGCTCCTTAGCCAGCCTGAGAAAAGAGGAGAAAACCAGTGAGAACATGAGCTTCTGCACCGAATGTTTTCAGCACGTCATTCTGATGCATTTGATTCATTCTGGGCTCTAAAACTTCACTCGGATTAGAAGTGACATCCTGAGGACAGGGCAAACTCGTCTTCAACGAAGCTGACGGCGATGAACTATGACCTGCATCATGCAGTCACCACCATTCTGGAGCAAAATGCCTGAAATGACAGGCCCAGATTTAAATGTCTGTGGTGCCTGAACCACGCTGACTGTCAGCATAATTAAGGCCTGTCGGAAAGAGCATTTTATTCTGAAGTGCCCAAGGCTCCGTCAAGTATTCTGTGGTTTGTAAGCAAAAATAAAAGAGCTTAACTGCCCCAAATATGATGAAGATGCTGCAAAATATGACAAATGCAGCATTTTTCTCATTACGCTGATCAGTGAAAGGACATTTAGTGTCTCCAGCTGGTTAAACGGTGCTCCAAACCAGCAGAAATGTTGTGCAGCGTTTTATCTTCTCAGCCATAATTTTATTTTTTATTTTATTTTTTTTGTTTCACACATGGTACAGCAGTAATTCATTTCCCATACACAAGCCCTAACCTTTCAATTAAAGTAACACTGTTTCCATGCATGAAAAGGAGCAGGAAGAAGAATTAATTCTTATTGACGCCTGCCTGTGATATCTGTGATAAGACAAGTAGGCGACCAAAATTACACTCTGACAATATTCTGCACATACAAAACAAAACAAAGCAAACAGAACGATATACTCAACAATGAGCAATACCACTAAATATCAAACTAAAAGGATCATTTTTCTACAATTAAATTCTATTATTTTCAACTTCTTCATATTGGTTTATCATTTTATTCTTATAGCAGCACTTAAGATGATCACTGAGAGAATTCCAGTTTCTTATGCCTGTGACTGTTGGACACATTTGCCTTTGTGTGGTTCGAGCAAACCGGTGCTTAAAATAAAACTTCCTTCTGAACACAATACAAATAAACTTTGTAACTAAAGAGGTAGTGTTTTATTTTTTGCCCTAAACATAATAGTTAAAGTCTGTAATTTCACTATGTCTTCTAGTTTTAATAATTTCAATTTTATAAACAAACTATTAGTGTGTTCTCTATATTTAACATTATATAAATA